AGGGCTGTTATATTCCACCAGCTTCCATTATAGAAATGAGTGACATTAATTTGGCCAGAATAGAGCCTAGCATTGCAGCTAAACTAATGATACTGTTGATGAAACTTCACTAATTTATGTCCCACATGGCTACGTTGTAGCCACCTGGAGGATGCTGCTCTTTTGAATTCTCTCTGCAGGTTTTAAGTCCTTAAATCACATTCCCCCCCCCAGTCTTGTTTGTCAGGCAAGTCACAACGGTCCAATTTCACAGGCAACTGGCCCACTACTGTTAAAAAACCTGCTTCTTGTCAAACCCTAAGCAGGTATGAAATATCACAAGACAGTATTGACATTTTCCTGGACACTACTCTGCCTGTAACAGTCAAAAATGCAAACAGGAAAAAAGCCAGCTGCAGGTGGAGAACAACCCTACTATTCCTCTCTAAAGACCACTATTTTTCCAACAGAAACACAGCACTTGCCCTTACTGTGCCAAATACCAAGATACTTGATCAGACACTGAAAAATATATTCATGCTAGAAATTTTCTAAACCTTTCCCCCAAATCTTGTAACCTGGGGATTCACTTCCGAAATAGCTTTGCTATCAAATAAGGCATATATAGGTTATAAAAACACAAAGCTTTAATCAGCACTTTTTTGACCTAAATTCAATAATGGGTTTGCCAAATTAACCAGCCCAGAACTGTGTGAATATATTATTAAACCCCATTTTGAGTTTGCATATTACCTGAATCTTAGGAGTGAATTAGTCCTCTCTTTGGTGTTTTATATACTTACAAAGACACACTAAAGTTTAGTCTTATTAAGAGAAAAATTCCATAGAATGAGAAAAACTTCTTTGGTAACTTTGGGATCTTATAACTTGTAAATTAGCAATGAAAGCACTGAGATAAGTCTTTGGCAATATATTTGAAGTCCTAATGAAAGGGTCAGATTACAAAAAGTCATAGAGGGAGTATTATATGAGGAAGCTTTAAAGTTAGTTGCAATGTATTAAAAAACAACATTCAAATAAATTATTTTGCACTGCAGTATGCCAAGTTTTTGGAGATAGAATTAAAATTGGGCTTTCATTTTAGACCAAGTAAAGCATAATATTAGACTATAATACTGCATATAGTAGTGAGATCCAAATGCCCATGGTGTTGCAAGAGAACATTTTCCCTCAGGCATTTGAAATTTAATGCTTCTTTAATATTCTCTGTTGGATATTGTTAGAATGGAATTTCAAATATTTCCTGCAATTTGAGTTAAAGATTACTGCATAATGCTGAGCAGCAAAAAATTTTTGAAGCGTACATCTAAAGCTGGCATAGTAGCTTAATGTCCTGTTGTTTCTTGCTTTAGCAAAATTAATTTCTTCAGTCTTCAACCATGAATTCACGCACCACCTGGAGATACAAACCCATAATTTAACTGTGGTGTATTTCTAGCTCCCTTGCCTAACACACTGAGGCCAGACCCTGTATGTCAGGCAAATATAAAAGGCCATTTCAGAGCAATACTTTCTATTCTCCTAAGTCAGAGAGAGAGCAACTTGAAAAACTGCATTTGGCTCATTATTGTCAATAAATGGGATTACTGGTCATGAAGTAAATGCACATGACATATTGAAAGTATATATTCTACTATATAGTCAAAGGTAAGACCTTTCCAATCAGACTCAAAATATTCAAAAGGCTTTTATCCAATTAAGATCCAATTTTTGCACCATACATGTGTTAGTGCTTTACCATGGTTACTCCATACAGGTAAGGGTAGATGGCAAATGAAACAAAAAGGCATAGTTGTATATCATTCTAAAAAAAAATAAAATCAGAAAAAGACAAATTATAATCACGATTCTTTTTGCTCGATTACTTCATGGGAAAGTCTCCTCCATTCAAAGATGCAGCTGCTTACTTTTACAACATCTGTGTCACAAGATAAGTGGTCAATCTCCCAGTTTTCTTCTATGTGGTTCCCTTATCATTTATACTGGGCACATGCAGACTCATTCCTTAGCTCTCCCCTGCAGGAAGCCTGACAACCCCCCTCAAAAAGGCTTGGAATGCTGCTTCAGACAGCAGGACTACCATGAGTTCAAATGAAGTCATTCCTCAGCACCATCCCAGCCCCACAAGACAACTCTAAATGACTTCATGACATGACCAAAAGTTTTAAACATTGGTCCTCAGTCTCATGCTCTAAAAAAACCATCCTCATGGGCTCCAGCATGACCCTTGTCAAGACTCTGAACTGAAAAACCAACAAAAAATATATGTCTCCACGTTTTTGAGCTACAGAAAACTCCAAGTTACGTAGCATTGGTACAGCCAATAGAATCTACACAGTTGGAATTATGTGCCTACACTTTTCTTCAGAGACGGGGACAGTTTAGCCTGAATGAATACAAGCATGTACAAAAATTGAGTACTTCTGTTTATGTGAGCAGAATGAATAAATACAATTTCTTCTTTCTTTAATCAAATATCAGTAAAGACACTGAGCATGGTCAGTACTATAAGCACACATGGTACTAAAGCCATCCATAGACTCTGCTGCTGCATAAAAATCAGTTTGGATAAGGTTTCCAAAAGCAGGCCAGATACCAAAATGAATCTGTGAAGCAGAAGAAAAACCTCCACACAGGACACAAAGTGTTTAGTTGGCTCTTTTGCTTATTAGTGATAAATTCATGTTTTAAAAGTTATGTTTCAAATATGAATAATGTCATTAAGATAAAAGTTTATCAGTATTTTCCTTCTGCAAAGAATTATGTTTTATAGAATTAATGCCAAAAAATCGACATAATAAGACATCACTCTCCTTACCAGGTATTCCTACGGATATTTTCTTTGAAACACTATTCAATACTTGGAAAAAAAAAAGGAGAAAAATTTAGTCCGTGTAATGGCAGCTATCAACAACTTAGCTCTGTGAAAATACAGAAACAAATTCAAACAGATGTTGTAAAACAACCTGAAATATTTTAATCAAACTACGTGACCATAATTCAAAGAAATAAACCTAATGAGAAAAACTCTTGTCATTATGCAAGAGATTTGGCATGGAACAACATTCATCAGTCATTCTGACATGGAAAGGATGGATAAAGGAAGCAGATGGATTCACCCCCCTGCACTGAGTCTAGAAAACGGAAAGTCATCACGATGGCTGCTAACCTCTTGTATCAAATTTATTACTTGATTATCAGGTTATAACAAACAAGTGCAAGAGGAAATCATATAAAAGAAAAAGCAAACATACATTCTTAGCAGAAGCTGTTTTTCCACTTGACTGAATGCTTACCTCATTTAAAAAACTCGGAAGAACATCAACTTAATTTACTGGGAGGAAGGGGTGGTAGTGTTTGTTTTGTTGGGGGTTTTTTTAAATTGCTGCAATTAATTAAAAGTACAAGGTTTGATTTGGTAGAACTTGAATTGTTACACAGGTCACTTCTTGTTTAGATAACCAACCTGCCTCTTCTCCTCCACACATTGACATTAGTGAGTAGAAAAAATCCACACACGGCTGTCACAAAGTCTCTGTTCAACCAAGATAAAGACAGACTTGTGTTAAGGTAAAAGAATCCAGTAAGGCTACTTCTCAGGCACCAGGAACTCTTCTATTCTCTTTGTAACAATTCAGAGATCAACTCTGCTGAATTTACAGCCAATACACCAAAGTCTTTGTGCCATGTGTGTGTGAGCATTTTGGCTGTTTGTTTTGTGGGTTGGTTTTGTTTGGTTTTGTTTCTTAAACAGGGACTCTCTATACCCTGGCCCTTGTAACAACCAGAAGAGAGAAGAAAATCTTCCAGAAATGGTGCACAGGTGGTGGATGACGACAGAGCTTCCAGGGTCTCTCAGCTTTGGGGGTGCACAGCGGGGGTGCCATTACCAAACCTCTGGTCAGTGATGGAGCCCTGAACACCTGAGCTGCACTCCAGGAACCAGAGACCACCCACCTCAGACCTGAGGAGGCACAGACAGCAAAGGAGGCCTGGATTGTTACAGCGTGCTCTGTCAAACCTACAAATAGCTGTTTGTACTACTTAGGGAAAAAAAAAAGAAATAAAAAAGCACCTTCTGTTGACAATTTTTATTAAGATTTGACTCATGAATAGTTCCTAAAGATTACTAATACATGTTCACAGAGTCACAGATTATGCGAGTTGGAAGGGACCATATTACAAGCAAGCCATACATCATTTGTGTCTCTTCATAGGCACATGAGTACAGAATGTGTTATTGCATCCTATCTACCTCTCAAAAACACACTAAAGGTTGTATAAATCAATTAATGATTAATTACTCGCCTTTGATTAAAAAACCAAATAAACTGTTAACATGTAAAAAATAAGCCATAGGATAAAATCAAACCAGATCCATAGAAGGCAAAATTTATCCTTTAGAAAGTTTTCTGAACCACAGCGAGAATAAAATCAGGATTATAAGCAGAATTTATAGATACATCAGTTTCCTCATAACATTTAATGTCCATGCAGTATCATGTGACTGAAGTTCAGAAACAAACAGTGAAAAATAACGTTTTGAACATTAGCACCAGGAATAAAAAATAAAATAAATCCTGTGATGGTTTTCTAAACTACAATTTTAATTCTTCTTGCTTATATCTACATCTTTATCTTTTATAAACTCCATGATAGATTTCTCACATACTTTACAAAACAGCTTTTGATCCTCTTAATTCTATTTCAGTATTTTTTTGCAATGCTTTTATTTCCGAAAAATCTCTTATTATTATTTCCTTGGACAATAATCTAGAAGAGGCTTCCAAAACTGTTTCTATTCTAGTATTTCTAGGATTGAACCCAGCCATTATATAGTTAATTTTTCTTACAGAGTCTTAAACATTTTGAATGTTAATCATATCACACAGACTTAGCTACAGGAGACATGATTTTGTAACAACAATTGCAAGTGTCATACATAGAGAGGATAAAAAGAAAACTTCAAAAACTACTGAAAATTAAGCGTAAAAACTTACCTAAAATATTCACCAGTTTCTATAGATGGCAATGAAGTAAAAGAAAATCCCATCCAAAATACAGCTAAAGAACACAGCCAGCTGTTAACAGAGAATAATTAATTTTAAAATATATATAAAAAAAATTAAGAGATAATTCTGGCAACTACCCTTCAAAACCACTAGTTGCCTTGAAAAATAATACTCGATCCCCAGAAAACTGAGATTAAAACATCTTAATACTTCAGTGTGTTGATTAATTACCGATTTCCACGTATTTCAATATCTTTTGACTGCAAAAATTTTAAAATGTATTTGAAGAATCAGCCAAGAGCCCAATTCACATGTATACTAAATTTCCACTATTTCATTTGCACGTAATGTTTTCATTTATGCAGCTTTTTGGGTTAAAGTGCTACACAAGAGACTCATACTAATAAAACATGGGGAAGCATTAAAGAATATTAAAAAAACTACACTTAAATCTTGCTTGGAAAACATTAGAGTTTAACAAGTAGAAACAAAATGTAAGCCATTTAAGAAGGAAATGCTAGAATTGTTAAGTTTTGCTGAGTTTAAAAAATACACCACATTCGCAAACCACTAAATTTTACAATATCTTCAGTTAAATCAGCATAGATGACAATTCAGTCTCTCTTGGACTAATTATATTGGAAACAGATTGAAAATAAAGTGACAAACAAAAGCATTTACAAATGCCTTTCCATCATATTCATAACAAATCACTTTCAATACAACATAACAACAAGATTTGTTGTTATCTCCAGCAGCAAATAGTTCCAGGAGCACAAGCTTAGGCAAAAAAAGGACCAAGAATGAAAAGGAAGTCTTACCTACAGAAAGTTTGAAAGTTTCAAGTTAAGCTCTTATCTGAAATCCACTAAATCAATACAATCCGCTATGCTGACACAGACAAATCAGTTTACAGCATGCTAACAGTGATTTACCTGAAAATTGATAAGGAATCAATTCAAACTGAACTAATTATGTTTGGTGGAAATTACCTTATGTGGGCCCATGTCAGGTTTTGTGTACATTTACATCTTAAATAGTGTTAATTAAGTCCATACAATGTCCTGGTGCAGAAGAGCTTACAGTCACCAGGGTAAAGCACCTCAGGACACTCTGGAAAACTCTGACTGTAAAACAAGCTCCCTCCTACTTACCAAGCTTCTCTACACTTCACAGCAAGCCAGACTTCAGCTTTGCTTGCAGCTATTTGGCTTTTAAATTCATCCCCAGAAGGGAACTTGGGTACAATCTTCATTCATATTAAAAATGTACAGTTATTAACTGACATAAATCAGTACAGATTGACATTTAAAATAAACTAAGCATGACTGTACCTTTCCCACTCTGACTGCAAAGTTTTCTGTACTGCAGGAGCTGTCAGGGGTTCAGCTAAAGACTTGTTCAAGACATAGGACGTTCTGAATTGAGGCATGAGTACGACTCACTAAGAGGAGAACATTTTGCATGACAAGCATAAATATTTGGTTTTTACACCCACTGCCCTAAAGGAGTGACTTCTTATTTCTGTCACAGACTGAAGAAGAAATTGCATAAGCATACAGGCTGCTTAGACTGTTTTTAAAAAATAATACTATCTACTCTAAGGATTAGAGCGAGATTTAAAACTAATCCTGCAGAAATATATTGGCACAAGTGAGACTTCACTAAAGATTTCACTGAATTACAGAGTTTTTGCAATAAGGAATCCTGTCAAGATTCGAGGGAAAAGAAAAATCAACTGTGTCACCCAAGACCCTCTTTTATAGCATAACCAGCACAGTTTATGAAGCTGTATTTTCCTGATGTATTTACACTAGCATCAGCCTCACTTTTAAGCCAGACCAAAAGGAATTGACTTCACCCAATAGTCCAAAACACAAGCAGACGACAAACTTTATTTTTGTACAAGAGGTCGCTAGTTCTAGCAGCGGGATAGCACAGGTAAGCTCTCAGCTTTCCCTAAAAATAATAAAGGGTTAAACACAAGCCGAGGGGGTTTCGTGAAGTGTGAAACGCAGCTCTGCACCATCTCCCGCAGGGCCGAAGGGAATGTGAGGGAGGAGGCGAGGGAAGACACCCGGAGTCACAGGACAAAGGGCTGCAGATGCAGGGACGCGCTGGCAACTCCCCAGAGCAGGCCGGGCAGGAGAGAGCGGCGCGAGCAACGCGAGGGGACCGTGAGGGGACCGTGAGGGGACCGCTCCGCCCGCTCTCACCGGGGCTCCCGGGGACGCCCTCCCCCCCGGGAAAGGGCAGGGTCAGGCCGCGCACTCGCACCCACCGAGCGCTCCGAGGAGCCGGGCCGGGGCGCGGGGAGCGCGGGAGCGGCACCGCCAGTACCGGAGCCTGTCCCGGTTCCCCGTCCCGCCCTCCCGCCTGTTTCCCACAGCAACAGCCACACGCCGCGCCCTGCGCATGCGCCGCCACCTCTTTCGCAACGTAGCGCGCATGCGTAGCCCGGGGCGCCCGCGCTGCCGCAGCCCCCGCCCCTCCGCTTCTCACGCGCCGCTCTGCGCTTCAATGAATGGGGTGACGCGAGGGGCGGCAACCGCCAATGGAGCGCGGGGGCGCGGCGCCCTGGACCCCGGGCACGCCGGGAGTTGTAGTTCTTTCAGAGAGCGAAGTAGTGCATGTCGGCGGTAGCCTCGACTACAGCCCCCAGGCGGCCGCGCGCGGGCGGGGCACCCCTCCCCACTCCGCGGCTCCTGGGCGCAGCGCCGCCGCGGCCGCAGTCGCGTCGCAGAGGTGACCCCGAGCAGCCGCTCCCGCCGCTCCCGCCAACATGGTCGGTACCGCGCACCGGGCCCGCTGCGCCGGCGCCCACACCGCGCCCTCCGCGTCCCTCCGGGGCGGATCGGGGGGATCCGGCGGGCGGAGGTGGCCGCGAAATGGCGTCGCGCTGCTCGCGGGGTGTGAGGGATAGGGGTGACCTGGAGGTGGTTGGTGGTGGCGGCACCCGGAGGAGCCGGGCCTGGCGGCGGCCCCAGGGCTCACCGCAGCCCCCGCAGAGGCCGCGCAGGGGTGACCTTCCAGCGGGAGACGTGGGGTCGGTGGCGGCCTGGCGGCGTCTGTGCCAGCGCGGCGTGAGGGGGAGGGCGGGATGTGGGAGCGGAGCGAACCCCCCCCCGCCCCGGTGGTGCCTCCCGATGGGGGATGGCACCGCTGGGCCCCGCGGGTGGCGACGTTGTCTCCGAGAGGTCGGGAAAGCCTTCGCCTTAGTCCGCGAGAGCTTAACGGGTTTGGAGCGGTTCTGTGTTAGCTCAAGGGGAAGTGCTTGTGAAATGTCTTTATTGTTCAATCTCTGCGTGCTGTCAGAAATCCTGCTGTTTGTGCAGATTGTCATAGTTCTGCCCTGAGGTTATTACAGTGTACTGCAGCGCTTTGCTTTTCTGCAGCATATATACTTACATGTGTGCACACACAAACCTGCACAGAGACCTTCCTTTCCTTTGTAACCCTGAAAACATCTCCAGGTTTTTCTAGACTCTATACCCTGTTATTCAAACCTGTACTTTTAATGTTTTGCTGTAGAAAGGATGCTTGCATGCTCTGGGACGTGGCTTATTTCAGCTATACCCTAAAAAATACCAAAGTCTGTAAACTTCTCTGCTCTTTCTGTTTAAAATGTGGATTCAGAGGAGTGACACAAGATAACAGGTTTTAGTTTGTACCTGAGCTTTCAGATCATTGCCTGACATGAATGTACCAATCTCACAGAGAACTGCTGGTTGTAATTTACTTCGGTGTCCAGACTTTTCAGAATGTCACTGTTTTTATCTTGCCTTTGCTGTTCTAGTTATGCATGTGGTGGTGGGCAGAGGCTTTAAACTCCAGAAATTAAATTATCTGTCTATTGATGCAACCACCGTTAGATAAATGAAGTGAAAAAAGTCTTTCAGGGCACCTGTGTCAAGGTCACTTCTTAAGGAAAGAACGCCTTTGGAATTCGGTCTCTGAACGACTGTGCTGGTGGCTCTCCTCAAGTGCAGAGCTGACACTTTCTACTCCGTTTCCAAACATGTTTATTGTCACCCGTATCTCTGCTTTAAAGAAGGGAGAGCAAAGGGAAAGTTTCCTAGGCAGACTCTAGACTCTTGAGGAGATAAAGTTTATCTTGATGCTTAAATCAGCTTTGTGAAGCAAGGTGGGATAGCTTAGTTGGCTTTACTATTCAGGAAAAAAGTTAAGTTGATGATAAGTTTATCAGCAGCAATGTATATGGAGGTCTTTCATTTGTAATTTGCAATGCAAAGTAGACAGGGTGTTCTTGCCACAGCATTTGTTAGGTTGTGAGTTATCTTTAATTCACCTTTGTAACCTCCTGAATCAGTTTTGCAGTGTAGTGCTATTTGCCTGTATAGCACTAATATTTTAGGTCTGCTGTTATCACCTGTAAATCACAGACATAACCGAGGCACTGAGTTCTTCAGCCAAAGTGTTGTGGGGAGGGCGATAAGCCCACAACTGCCTCATTTGGTATTGGAAGCTTCACTTTCATCTGTCATAGTTGAGGAAGGGGAGAAATCCTACATGGTTGCTGAACTACACAAAGAAGGGTACCCAGCAATGTTCGGTTGTTGGGGTTTTTTTTCCTCATCCTTTTTATCACTACCTTTGCTACTCCATTAGTTTCCTAAAGCTATTTAACTGTACACTGGCTGAATGTGGAGTGGGGAAGGCTTTGAAACAAAATAGTTCAGTTAGTTGTTGCTTAATTTGCCCTCTAGTTCTATACCTGAGGGTGAGTAAAGGTCACCCCTGTAGCTACCACATGAAAGTAGTCTTGCAGGAGCCAAGTCACGAGTTGAAGGGCCTGGACATGAATGTTTGGAACCTACAACTTCCACTGGGGAGCTACTCATTTCTCTAAATATCCGACCTCCAAAAGTAGCCTCTGATGCTCAATAAGACCAATTTTGATATGTGATGTAAGTTTTTTCTTTCTTTGGTGAGTGTTATCCACATTTTGTAAGAACCACAGCATTTTTGGCTTCTTAATCTAGCTTCTGGATTTGAGACAGCATGGAAGTTTCTTTGATACTAATTGCTCACATTTAGTGCAGGAGTAAAGGGGTCTGGGGAATGTATTGAATCCAGTGGACTGAAGGCTGGGAGAGAAAAAGCAAGTAGGCAGCACTCTTCACTTTATTTTAGCTTGTGTTTCTTCTGTCTCCAGCCTTACACTGGGGGGGAGAACAGGAAGGATGGTTGTAAGCAAACATAATTATGGTGAGAAGGTGGAGCTGAGTCATGACCGAAGTGGTTTTGTTGGGGTTTTTTTTCCAAAAAAAGGCTAAATGCTAAGTTTGTCTCAGTAAAAGTATAATAAATAATTCTATCTCTTACCTTTTTTATTTTCTACTCCTTCCTTCTCCTGTTGTTATGCTAAATATTCACTGTAATGTTAGTGGATAGATTGACATTTTTTATGTTTAAATCAAATTAGCATATAAAGTGCATATAGTGGGAAAAAATTCTCATTTTACTAACTAGTAGGGTTAGCTACCATGAAAGAGTATTCATTGTTGCCTTAATATAAATAAAATGTAGGATCTCCTTAGAAACATGCTGTAAACTTGGCTTTAAAATTTGATACGCATCTTAATCCATGCTGTCCATCATCATTCAGATGTTATGGTACATTTCCTTACTCAGGAATACAATACCAAAACTAGTTTTGAGATTTAAACCAGCAAGAATTGTTTGTCTGTCCTCCTTCCCCCTCTTTATGGAGTTTCCATGAGGGATGAGGCTCATAATAGGACAGATTCAAAAGAAAACAATGCAGTTCAATGCTGTGTAACTGCTAATCATGTAACCAGATATTTAAAGAATCGTTCCCATAATGAAGGCAGAATCAGGCCAGGTCTAATTCTACAAGTTCAGGAGTTTAACGTCATCACTTACACTCTCATTTTATCCGGTATGTGGGAAGATGGGGTAGGTGGCCTCATTTTTGTAATAATTTAAGGATAGCTTGATGCAGCTGTGCTTGGCTGGTCACTTCTGTGGAGAGGATACATTCAAAGCCCAAAATGGTTTTCCTATAAATATCAGTGACAGGAACGTTGGTTGGGAAGGATCTCTAGAGGTCACACGGTCCGCCCTCTTTCACTCCAAGTCTGGAGGTTGTCCAGTCCAGCCTGACAGCAAGGCTGTTGTCACTGATAAATCGTATCATATGTGTGTTTTGATCTGAGTCTTGAAAACCACCAAGGGAGAAGATTGCGCAGACTCTCTGGGTACCCTTTTGTAGCCAGTGCACCCTGTTCTGCCATCTGCCACTAGGAGAGGTGTTGGGAAGCATTATTTTTTTTAACACTCTGTGAAGGTGTGGTAGGCTGCTGTTACATCACCCTCCATCCTCTGCCTTTCCAGGCTATGTCCAGCACCCTCAGCCTCACTTTACAGGACATGAACTCAGGGTGCCAAGACTGGACTCAGTATTCCAGCTGCAATATCACCAGCACTGAGTGGAATGTCTTTGTCTGCAAGCTGCGCTTCTCGTAATGTAGCCCAGGATGCAATTAAATCACTTCTTTCACGTTCAGTTGTGCCTGGTGTTTTGTCTGTATCTCAAATGGTCACCTTTTAATTATTTGACAAAGTGGATTTGACACTCCAGCAGCCCGGTCAGAGTCTGCTTGTTCCTGTCCGTGCACAATCTGTCCCAGCTCTATTGCCTCTAGAGAAACATGGAAATACAAAAAACAGGCTTGCAAAGTACTGAGTTATGAAGGTCCTTTAGCATGTGTTCCATTTTCAGAGGATCATAGAATGTTGCATTTGAAGGGACTTTTAAAGGTCATCTGGTCCACCCCCCCCTTACAATGAGCACTGACATCTTCAACTAGACCAGGTTGCTCAAAGCTCCGATTTGACCTTGACTGTTTCCACTGATGGGGCTTCTACAACCTCTCTGAGCAATCTGTGCCAGCGTTTCCCCAGCCCTATTGGAAAATATATTTTCTTATCTAAATCTACCCTCTTTTAATTTAAAACTGTTGTTCCTTGTCACTTCATAACAGGCCCTACTAAAAAGTTTGTCTTAGTCTTTCTTAAAGTCCCCTTTGAGTATTGAGAAGCTACAATAAGGCCTTCCTGGAACCTTATCTTCTCCAGGATGAACAACCCAAACTCTCTCAGCCTTCAGTTTTCAATATTGAATAACCTCTGGATTTCCCCAGATCTTAGTTCTGCTTAACAAAATGGGATGTTTACTATAAAGCATGCATTTTTTTTCCCCTTTATTTGCAATATAGCAACATGTTGGCAGTCTTCTCCCAGTCTTGTGGAGTTTAGGGTCAGTTTGACAATAAACAGTTGTATTATGGATTATAGCGTCTGGATTTGTCCATAATGTACCTTTTGTCTGTGGATTTCTTAAATTACTGCCAAA